GGGGGGGGCCCCCTGGGGGGGGGGGGGTCCTGGGGGAAGGCGAGACCCCCCCCCACTCCCAAAAAAAAACCCCAAAACCTGGAGACTGAAGGTACGGGAGGGCCCCGCCTCCCACCCCCATTGGCCAGGCTGTTTCTAGGGTTAGCCCCAGCTGTGCCTGATTGGTGGGCTGCCGTGGTGGGCGTGGCCCCTCCTGGGGAGGCGGGGCTGATGTGGGGCTGATGTGCCCCATAGCCTTCCCTTCCTCGCAGTGGACCTGGTGATGCCCTATGGATACCATAGGCTAAAATAACGCAGTGACAGGTCAGCAGCTCCTTACAAAGGCTCCAAGTGTGGTTTGGGGAGGGGGGGTGTTGCTTTTTTTGGTTTTTGTTGTTTGTTTTTTTTAACAGCCCCCACCCCTCAAGTAGTTGCACTTGGCAGGACAGTGCATCTTATTAAGACCCTTAAGATAAATCTGTTTCCTCTATCCTTGAGCTGTGTTAGAGGTTTTGCCTCTGAAAGCTATGCAGTCTGAGAGGAAAGCATCGTATAAAGCTTGTTCTAGTGTGTCTAAATGGAGGCCTTGATATCCTCAAAGGCTCTTTATAGAAAAACAGCTTGATGACCCACATCTAAACATGGTTAGGGAAATAAGTGCGGCCGTATGATGTAGTTGGTGCTAAACACATTTTTTTAATATATTAGTTAAATAACTTATTTAGAGTATATTGAGGGTGAAATACCAATTGCTTTTTCTGGCCCAAATTACGGTATCTAAGTTAGGTCCCCTCCAAGACTCTCTTCTTATCATGGGAACATTTCCCTCTTATGCTAGAAAGACACTCCCAATTAAAGACAGGTCTTTGCTGTTCTTTTAGCTGTTGAACCCTTGTTCCAGAACCTCTCTGTAACTGTAGAATATCTGATATTGCAGGCAAAATGGTCTTTTTCTAGTTAATGACTTCCACTTGATAAGGTCCGAGCCATATGCCATGAGATCCTCTAAACTTGAGCACATGCTTAGCTTCAAAAGGTGACTGTGTGCATTTGCAAAGTTGCTGCTTTTGCTTTTAGTTGTTGTTCTGTCTTTACTGCTGTAAGTGAATGTGGTGGTTGTTAAATTCTGAGGTTTACCTATGTGTCTCTTTAGCAGGAACTGCTTATTAAAATTTGGTCAGTAGTTAGTACATTTTCAGAAGGCTGGTTTGAACGTTCTTGGTTTTGCATTAAGGAGTTGTTGGTATAGAACTTGTTCACGTACTATTCCTAGTGCTTCCTGCTTACATATTTGCAAAAAAAATTTAAAAAAAAAGCCCCAAACTTTTAACCCCTTTAGTACCATGTTGTTTGCGTCAGCATGGCTTATTTGGTGAGGTGTCTTAACTTTTCATGTAGTGATTTAGCAAAACTGTGTTGGGGTACCCATGTCCTACTGCATATGAAATGACTTACTACAGTCCTCATCTGCTGTAGTAAATATTTTTCTTTCTTCATGTTAGATAATCTGTGTTTTCAGACAGGAACTTTGAACCTAGTAAGTTGACTTTGTGGTTCCTGGTAATGAAATGGTTCACACAAGCTGTTCTCTTGTCTGTATTCTAGAAGGGGGGACCTCAACCTCCTTTCTATAAGCAAGCCCCATCATTCCTGCCTTCTCACCCCAGCTGTGTGCTGTGGCCTGGTCCGAGTGCTGGTCTGATGCTGGCATGCCGAGATGCTTCCTAGGAGATTATTAGGTGTTAGAATGCTGTGTCAACCCAAAAATGTGTAAACAGTTACCATGGCTGTGCAGGGCTTAATAGCAGCTAACTTAACGTGAGCCAGAAGAATAATTAGGTCCAACTGAGCATCTGTCTAACCCAGAATCCTGTCTGCAGTCGTTCAGGAACAGGGAAAACACTGTGGTCAGGGCTGTGGTTTTCCCAGGACAGGGCTTGTCCTATCACTCCAAAGTGCTGACCCCATGATTTTCATAGACCTGAGGTAAGAACATTCTGTGATAGTGAGGGGTTGTGCTGTGTGTCCCAAGTAGAGAGGAGATGCTTAGGCAGGAAGAAAGTATAGGACTAGAAGTGTCTGATGGTAATTCTCTGACTGCTGTCCCATTTTTGGTGATTCAAGGAGCTCTGAGCTAAAGGAGTTGTTCTCTTATTTCTAATAATTCTCAGTACCTTTTTTCTGCTAACTCTTGAATTAAGCCACCTCCTCAGTATCCTATGGCAAGGAGCTGTGTGCCCAAACTCTGTGTTGTGGAGGAACATCTGCTCTGCTTTTCCCTAGCACCTGCCAATTTCACCTGATGCTCAGTAGCTCTTGCTCTGGAAGAGGCAGCAGACGAGTCACTCAAATCGTGTAACCTAGCCTTTGAAAGGAAAAGTTTCTAAACATACTAACCTTTTGATAAGATAACCCCGTATCTTGTGAGAGTCCTGCCAGAGTATTGGTTCAGTTGTGTTCTGGAGGATGTTTTCACCAAATGGCAGTAGTATGCAAATTTGATGTAGATTATTTGGTGGTTTATAAGAAAATCAAGGCTTTTATTTTTTGAGAATCTAAAATTTTTGATGTTTGTGAGTAATAAAGATAGAAGCCTAAACTTAATGCCATGTTACATTGTACTTTGAATTATTATTTTTATTTTCCCAGCGCTCAGAGAGTGAAAGTGTTCTTAACTCTTTTCTTCTACACTAGGAGGCAAGTGAAGCCTACTTGGTTGGCCTGTTTGAAGATACCAACCTGTGTGCTATCCATGCCAAACGTGTCACAATCATGCCAAAAGATATCCAGCTAGCACGCCGCATACGTGGAGAGCGTGCCTAAACTTCACTATGATGGGTTTGTCATTCTCGAAGCAAAATCTTCTTCCTGTTATTGGTAGTAATGAACGTTAGATATTTTTTCCATGGGGTTAAAAGGTACCTAAGTATATGGTTGCAAATGGAAAAATAGGGGACAGAATTGGGTATTGGCAAGTTCTTTTCCATTTTCATTTGTGTGTGGATTTTTAATATAAACGAGGGGACATAAAACATCAATGCGGTCAAAAAAATGTTTCAGTGAACAAGTTTCAACAATTCAACTTTATAAAAAAAATTATAAATAAACCTGTCAAATTTTTCTGGACAATGCCAGCATTTGGATTTTTTTAAACAAGTAAATTTCTTATCAATGGCAACTAAATGGTGTTTGTAGCATTTTTATCATACAGTAGATTCCATCCATTCACTATACTTTTCTAACTGAGTTGTCCTACATGCAAGTACACGTTTTTAATGTTGTCTGTCTTCTGTGCTGTTCCTGTAAGTTTGCTATTAAAATACATTAAATGATGCCTGCTTTTAGTCTTGATTTTTAAATATTACATGTGGGTTGTATTTGATTAAAAAATCATCGGCCTTCCCTTCTTTTTTTCCTCTTCAATATGTGGCCTAAACACTTAGAGCAGATCTAGGGAACACTGGGGATACTACCTTGGCTGAAGTAGTGTATATGTGAGGGTTTTTTTAAGAGTGTAAAATTTCTGTCTGCTCCATGTGAAAGCAGGTTTGGTGAGTATATTACCGGGTAGAGTCTGGAGCTGGACTGAGCTCCCTAACTAAGCTACAGTGCTAAGAAAAAGCAGTTTTGTTGCTGTTTAGATTCCTTTTTTACTCGACTTAATGCTGAATTTGGAAGCATTTCTGATTTTCATGTTTTGTTAGTATGGTATAAGTGGTGGGGTGTGGTGGTTTGGGTTTTTTTTTTTGGTGCGTTCTGGGTTTGGTGTGGGGGTTTTTTCTCCTTGTTTTTTTTTAAACCCATTTACGCTCTGTTATCTGGTTTCTTGGTTTGTAGGTGTTCACTTTTTGGTTGACTACCTTTCTGTTTCAGTCACACCCTCCAGCATGTTTGAGAGCTTAGTCCATGTGTGATCAGTTTCAGTTTGTACACTCCAATCAAAAAGACACTTTTGTACCATTTTTGTTTGTTACAGTACTTCATAAAAGCAGTACTTGGACAGGAGCACACATTTGAAACTTACTAATTTTTTTTTTTATATTCAGCCCTCCAATTGCTGATGAAAGTTCCTGTGAAGAAATTTACTGCTGAAATTATGTTCTAGAAAAACTTGGTTTTAATTTTTCACCTGAAACTTGGATTCTGATGGACCAGTCTGGAAATTAATTATATGGTGTACTTTTTGATAGCTCTTGCAGATAATGATTGAGTTACATAGAAGAAAATATGTAGGCAGTGAACAGATTTCACCTCTATGCTAAGACCCCTACAGAGCTTATTTGCTGCTAACTTCTTTCAGGAGTTTCTGAGTGAGCTCTGAACACACCAGTAAATTTGTCTGAAGATTTTGAAAGAGGATTAATAGAGATGTATTATCTGCTTTGGCATCTTAAACAGAGAGCCAAAAATTATAGAATAAATCACATTATTCATAACTTACTCAGCTCTAGTAATGAATGCTGTCTGCCAGGGTTGTGTGGAGTAAAGTCTGTTTAAATGGAGTAGCTTGTCACAGAGAAAACTAATGCTAGACAAAATGTGATCACATCCTTTTGATGCCAAGCAGTTCATAGCTATCTTCTAAAAATCAAGGAAGACTTGTCTTGGAGCATCCGGAACCATAAAAATATAAACGGTGAGCAACTGAGACTTAACTGAATTGAGATGTCACTTCTGTCTACTTGATAACAACCTTGTTAAACTTGCTATAAATGCATTTCAGTATAATTAACTACTTGTTTTGTCCTGTACTTCAGAATTCTGTTTCATGCATCAGTCAACAATGCTGCAACCACCTACACAAAAAGGTAATTAGGCTGATTTTTTTTGTTTTGTTTAATAACCTGCAATTGAAGTATTGATAAGGAACTAAATTTTCTCTTCCTTAGCTATATTAGAAAACCAAATCTAGAGATTTTGGTACTCAAATGAAATATTGAGCTCTTCTCTTAAAAGAGAACTGGGGTGAGGAATATCCCAGTTTAACTGACAATGCAGTTAAACTGTCTATGGCAGAAGAATTCATAATGGAAGATGGGATCAGGAATCTGCAGATGACAACATTTAAGTGTGCAGTGCTATACCTGCAGCTTAAGGATAAACTTTGCCTCTGAGACTGTTGGTTGTGATGGTTGTGGTCCTAGAGATGCCATGTGAATCCTGTTAGTGATTAGCTGTCTGTGTCTTTATTGATACCAGGTCTTGTCTTGGTTTTATTCCTGAGGAATCTTAGTGTATCACTTCTCTGCTCCTTGTTTGTTTTTTCAAGCATGATAGATTTTCATTCTTCAGACTTTTCCACTGTTTTGCTGAGCAAATAACTTAATCTCTAGCTTTCTCACCCCCTGCCCTGAGTGCACTGTCTTTTTGTCTTTACTGTGCAGCAGCATGAAAATAAGAACAATTAAATTGTCAGCTTTTGTTAAGAACTGCTTTTTTAAAATTGCCAGAAGAGTTAGGTGCCAGTCCAATTTTGGATGGATCTTCTACTTGATGCTGTTTAATGTTAATGGAGGAAGGGGAGTGTAAAAGGTGACGTTACTTTTTTTTTTTTTATGCTGAGAGTTTAGTTATTTGGGGTTATATGGTTGGGTTTTTTCCCAGCAGATTTTGGAAGCTATCTGTCTAAATATTGTTGGCATAACTCATCCAGAGTTGACAGTTCACTTGCACCTGGGAGCCTCTCAAAGACAGGCTTTGCAGTACAGAAAGAGCAAAACAAAAAGGTGGGGATTGGTGTTAATACAAAAGCTGCAGAGGAGGAGGAACAAGACTGTCTACAGTTCCTGTTTAATCAGCTTTTTTCCTTGTGTAGTAGCATTCCTGCAAAAACATTTTTGGGAAATGGTGGAGGGACAGAAGGGCTACATAGCACTGGAGATCCACAGTTAGGGCACACGTGGATTGCTAGAGAAGGTGGGATACAGCATGTTATTTAGAGTTAAGTTTTAAGCTGCTTATGTTGTGATGCTGGCGCTCCCTTCGGTCACTTCAGGATTACAGGTTCGCTCCCTCGGGTGAAGAAGAGTGGACAAAATAGTTCTGATCCAGTTACATGCAGTGGTGTCGTTTAAAAATAACTGAAGAATTGTGTTTTGATCAATGCCATTTCCCCATTTTGCACGTTGCCACGTATCCGTCGTGCTGTTTGGAGTGAGCAGTAACTGCTGGTGGCCCTGTTAGCTGTCTGCATATGCAGGTTTGGGCATCAGCTAAGAAGAAAATCAGCCTGTAGTCCAAAGTCTGCAGGCATTTACCAAGTAGGTATTGCAGCTTGTCTTAGTCTCCTGGACTGCTTCCTCTGGAGCTGACAGGTGGGGAAATGAGTCATGGGGGGAATTAGCTGACCTACAGGATGGCAATCTACTACATTTTATTGCTTTTGGGTGTCCTGAATGTTCTGATAAAACAAGGGGTGGTCCTCAGAACTGTATATGCCTGCTTGTTGGGTGAGATCGTTTTTGAGGAAACTGTTGACAAACAAATATTAATGGATTTAAAGTGACTTAAGGGTTTGTTGTTGGTTGGTTTGGGGGTTTTTTTGTTGTTTTTTTAGAGAAGCACAATTTTCCTCAGCCAGTTTTGCAAGCACTGTTTAAAGTGTTACAAGATTCTTAATATCTACCGTTGCCGTATGTCAAAGAAATTGTAATATTTAAAAATGTAAATTTCTATGAAATTGTGGTGTTTGGGAGTTGTAGGGAAAGGGAATACCATCGAACTTGAATGTGGGCTAATTTAACAGTGACAGAAAAAGAAATCTGCTTAAGTCACATGTGCTGTGTTCTCTGCAAAAAGAAATTATGGTTTACGTGCGAGAAAGATGTAATAATGTTTTAAAGCATTCTCATTCTGTGGAAGAAGTGGCTTCAGGTTCCTGTTTCACATCTGAAAAAGTAGGCTGAACTTTACTTTCTAAAATAGTTTACCTTTTTTTCCCCATAACAATTCTGCTATTTCCTGGCCAATTCAGTTGTGTCTGAGATTTTGAATACTAGAAACAAGTTGTGGTCATGTGGACATCCTCCTGGGGAGGAGTTTAACTGTACTGGGTGGAGGGTTGGACGTGACGTGGCTCCTTACTTGTTAGTGACAAACATACTCAAAGGTTGAACATCTGTTTAAGGCATATCGTTGCATGTATGTCCACACTTCAATTTCTGAATTATTTTGTGAAGCCCTTTCTAAGGGGTATGTGATAAGCTGTTTTTTAGGTCTTTGTTGTAGACTTGTAATGTTAACAGCTGTATTTACTTGCTGTTTTCTCAAGTAGATACAAAACCTTATTTTTTCTTAAGTTGGGTGCTTTGTATTAGCAACACAAAAAGCAAGCTTGCCTACCCTAGTCAAAAATTAATGTGCTGGGAGATAACTTCAGACACAAGATCAGTCTCTCTCGCGTGGCTGTATCAAATTCAACTGGTATTTATTGAGAGCTTGACTAAAGTTGAGCTTAAACCCAGCATTTCAGATTTTGTTTAGAAAAGTAACTTGCTCTATATGAAGTAACTAATATTACTGTACCTGTGTTTAAGTGATGCATTGGTGAGCTGGGTTCATCCAGCCCTTTATCCCATCTGGCAGCAGTCTGTCCAGGGACCAGGTTCATTAATGCCTGCTCTGTGACAGGTTGTAGCACCTACTTGAAATTAGTAATGCCATCTTGTTCAGGAAGGAGAATAAGTGCAACTATTTCTGTTAAAATAACTGCTCACTAACAGTCTTTTACACTGGTGAATTTTTGGGGTGCATTTTGTAATTTGGGATTACTGTCCCAGGATGTGTTTTCTTGCCCTATGGCTTTCATGGGGTTTTGTGACCACTTAGTGATTTGAATCCACTTTTTGATGTGACTAACCAGTGTGTCTCACACACATACTTCCCGTACCGCTGGTTTTGGTCAGTTAGCCAAATAATTTGACTTGGCATATCCCCTTGATCTGAAGCGATAGAGCAGGCAGGAGACTAGGACTATCCATTTCCCTAGCAGTATACAGTTTAGGTTCAGTTTCACAATCTGCTTAATCCAAATTTACACCTGTGCTACCATTCTAATACCAGCTTTTCTTGCCTCACTTGCCTGTCTTGAGACTGTGATGGGTTACTTCAGTTTATCTTCTGGAGCTTAATTTTAAATTCAAGGTTTAATGAAGTACAGGCGGTGTTCAGATTGAAGATGTTGATTGCATTGTTTACTGCAATTTTTTTTCTTACTATAGCAAACACACACATGCAACTTTTCTTGGTCTTCATAATAAGTAAGGAGTTAAAAACACTTTTCATATAACTTGGCTTCAAAGGCTTGAATTCAGAGGAGGAATTCTAGTGTCAGG